CTTTCTACACCACCCCCTCTGGACCCCTTTCTTTGTTCATGATTCCTCTATTTATAGAGGAAATGCTTGGGAGATGTTGAAGTAGTTAGCTTTGCAAAAAATAATAAAATATGAAAACGAAAAAGTACAAGTGGGGGCCTGATGTCAGTTGTGTATAGAAGATTTAACTTATGCCTTTTGGCGTTGCTTATGCTCAGACAATAATCAGGCTGAGAGCTCATTTTATGATTAAAGTACTCTTTATGAAGAAAGGGTATGTAACCTTTTTCCATTTCATCCAAGAATGATATTATCCAGTGGATAAACCTTCGAATCTTTATACAAGCTTCTGAATATGTAAATATTTGGAAGCAACATAGCCTGACAAGTAGGGTAAGGCCATGAGATTTACTCAAACTTGCTTCGAAGGATCCAGAGTTGGGTTCAAAAGATGCTGATTCGAAGAGAATTAAAACTTCAATCGAAACTTTATATGCAGGTGGCTCTTGTCCATTTGAAAGCCTTCCTGCCAGGGGTCACATGCGGCCAAACGAAAGATTATACATAGGGGGCCCATGCCTTGTGACTTCATGCCAACATGCAAAAGATCTATGTTCAAACGAAAGGTGTGACCAGTAGCTTGTACTGAAGGAAACACATGTCCAAACGAAATGTTTGACCAAAACTTTGTGCTGAAGGATTCATGTGCCCAAACGAAGGGTGTGACCAGTAGCCTGTACTGAAGGAACCACATGCCCAAATGAAAGGTGCATGTAGGAGGCCAAAATGTCCAGATTTGAAAGAGGCATATAGGAGGAAAAAAAGTGCAAATCGAAGGATGCTAAAAGGGAGCCTTCGCCTTGTGTCTGTTTATCATGAGGGAAGTTCCTGGCTTCGTGAATCAAAGGCAAACATATAAGGCCAAAGGTGCATTCAAATCTTGTATGCAGGAGGCCTAAATGGTGCAATAGAAAGAAACATTCAGAAGACCATTGCCTTCTGAATTGAATGACGTTTTTCAGAAGGTTATTACCTTCTGAATCAAAGGGTGCTCTTTCAAGGGAAGCTAGAACTTATTCAAATCTTGTATGAAGATATCTCTTGGCTCAAATGAAGCTTGTATGAAGCAAAGTCTGCAAGAGGTCCTTGGTGCAAGTGAATTCGAAGGATGCATAGAGATGGTTACTTTGTCCCATCGAAACTTGTTCAAACGAAGCAAGCATACAGACAACAAACTTGTCCAATCGAAGCAGGCTTGTAGGCAGCTATTTTGTCCAAATCGAAGTAGGCAGCTATTTTTTCCAAATCGAAGCAGGCATGCAGGCAGCATATGCCTAATCAAAATAAACTTGCTATTTCCTTAATTTTGTCAAAAAAACAATTTTATCTGTTTTGCTCTTTTTTCAATAGTTTCCTCTTTAACCTAGTTCTGGAAAAAACCAATATACTTGTGCAAGCTTGAGCCTTGAGAATCCTTGAGAAATGCCTTGAAAAATGAGAGGGAAAATTTTGGGGTACAACAGCTGACCCTGTTCAATCTTCTTAAACAGAAAAGGAAGAGGAAGCGAGACTTAAAGCTCAAGAAGAAGAAGTCAGAAAAGATGAAGAAGCCAGGATGGCTAAAGAGGCGGAAGAAACTGAAAAGGTAAGACAAGATGCTTTGGTTATGTTTTCTTCTGATCCCGTCATTGCGCGTCTGGAAAATGCAATTGGTGAGATTAGAGGAGAATAACAGGTTTTCAGAGAAATCATCATTCAATAAAAGGTCGTCAACAAGAATGTTCAGAACATATTGCAACTGATTCTTGAGAAGATATTTGCTCCAACACCTTTCACATCTGGACCCTAGACTCACAGGCTTTTATTTTCCCTTTTGCTTCTGAACCTTAGAACTATTTTCTTATTATGCTTTCTTTTATGTCTTATGATCTTTTGAACTATATGAAAGTATTATTTTCGCTTCAAAATTTTACTTGTTATTTCTTCTGTTTCTATTACGTAGTCAACCCTACCTAGTGGGATAAGGCGTAGTTGTTGTTATTGTTGTTGTTGTTGTTATTGTTGTTGTTGTATTTCTTCTATTTTTATGTTTTTCACCCATAATTACCTTTTTTATTATGACAAAAAGGGGAAGTAAATAACTGAAAGTAATATTTTGATTCTGATAATCAAATTCTAGACAACATCTATGAATAGTGCTTCTGACATTCTAACCCAGTTAAACTTCTGCTTCAGTTAGAATTGTTTTCTTTTTCAGGAATCATTAACTCTGATTAAAGTCAAGATCTGAAAGTGTTAAAGGCTTTTGTCTAACTTTTGGATTCAGACTCTGAGAAGTTTTAAGTTCATAATCAGGTTGTTCATAATCAGGCTCTGAATTGAGAATATAGAAATTGTCTTTGTGACATTAAAGTTTCAAGATCTCAATTGGCATGATTGACATCAATAATCAAGACTCTCAAGATCTCAATATCTGATGTATTGGAACTAGGGGGAGTTTTACTTAAATGGTTCAGAACCAAGATATTTGATCTTCATCAAGTCTTATAGTCAGGGGGAGTTTCATAAAGGATAAGTGTTTCTTACCCTTCTTATTTTTACTTATTTTGATTATGTACAAAATTGTGTCATCAAAATACACATTTTTGTCATCATTAAAAAGAGGGTGATTGTTAGAACAAGATTTGGTTCTGCAACTTTATCTCTGAGTTTTGATGATAACAAAGAGTATGTTTGTATGAACACTTTTAGTACTCTATGTTTGTTATTTTGAGTATTTAACAAGCAGGTTCTACTTCTGATGAAAGGTGCTACCAAGACTTTAGAAGAGAATAAGTTCCGCTTCTAGCTACACAAGTTCTGATGAACAATAACAAAATGCTTCAGAAGGCTCTGAAGTAGTAACTCTGATATAAGTCTAAGAAACCAAGTTCTGAAGACATAAGTTGTAAATGAAGTCCAGAGGCTTAAAGACTAAGAGAGAAGGCTGACAATTCACATTCTATTAAGACTGTTCATACGCTTTCTTATTTTTCTTAGTCTATATTCTTGAGATACTATTTACATATTTGCTTGTGTAAAAGCATATCTTTTGTAAACAAACTTTGTTCAAATAATTGTTTGATTTTTCTTAAGGGACCAGTTGGTCAGAATCCTTGAGAAGTCTAAGATTAATGTGTCTCAGAGGTTGTAACATTAATCACTTGCAATTAGCTTGTGCATTGTAATAATTTGTTTGATTATTGGATTAAGACCTTGTTGAGAAATGCAAAATTACCTTGGCGGGTGGACTACACTAGCTTGATAGTTTCCAAGTGAACTAGTATAAACGTAATTTATTCTTTCCTTCTTGCTTCTTATCATTATTATCAATAAGTGAAGAAAACTTGTTTGTGTTGAAAGATATTTTTAAAGAATTTTTTTTGATTTAAAATCCAATTCAAACCTCCATTTCTTATATTTTTCAAACCTTCATTAACTACACATAAAATTTACACGATATATAGAAACAATGTTAATACTCGACAACACGGTGATGCTCTAATTGAACAAGGAAAACCATTGAATTCATATTCTTATTATTCAACACTTATTTCATCGTCATCCTTTGATATCATTAAACATTCACACGCTTGTGTTGCGTTTCTTTTTACCTCTTTTAAATGTCAAATAACTTTGTTGAGTAAAACTGCTTTGTCTATCTGAAATCATAAAAAAGAAGAGAAAAAAAATGCAACCAAACATGAAAAATTATAAACATAACACTAAGATGCAAAATTGAATATTGAATCATATGACTCATTTAAGAATAAATGACCTTTAAAACACCCTTATAAAAATTAATGAAAATAATCAAAGTGATGATTTTGATTTAAGAGACTTAAAATAAATATTTATTAAATAAGAGACGAAATTGAAATCTGAAATTAAATTAAAGAATTAAATAATATATTAAGCTTAAATACAATTAATTTTTATTATAATAGTTAAAATATTAATCTTAAAAAAAATTAATGCCAATCAAAACATCTAGAAGATATATAATAAAAGAAATAAAATGATTAAGTCAAATTAATTGGAATGCCTTTTTTGTAGTTTTCTTATTACCTTTCTTAGTCAAATGACAAAGGAGACAATGACAATGTTTCATGTATTACAAACATTGGATTGGTTGAAGATGGAGGATAAAGTAGTGTTGTCGGTGACGTGAGAAAAAGGTTCAATTTACAACAAACGCACTCTACACGACATGATCATATCTATAAAAATATAGTACTATTATATTCTATCATGAAAAATGACTTTGTCCAACTAAGTGCCAAACATGAACAAATTTGAAGTCTTAGTATTTGGATGAATCTTAAAATCAATTTTGAGCCTCCATGTGGATTCCATTCATGCTATATCACTACTATCTTTTCATATGCTTCACCTAACTAAATTCATTTGGTATCAATAGAGGACAAACACTAACTTCTTTGATTTTTTTTTTATGTCGTTAAGGGATTCCACTTTCTTCATTCTTGATCTAAGGATATTGACAATATCGTTAGTTTTATTTTTAATCAAGCTTTAACTTATGTTTATGTATATTTTTAAGTGAAGAAATTTATTCAATTCTACATATTTATTTGTGTGGTGGTTACATAATTATTTTAAAAAATTTATGTGAACCTACTACTTGTCTTTTTATTTAAGAAAGTACTAGAGGTACATCTAAAATAAAATCAAATTGATTCTTTTTTGGTTCAACATCCAAATTGAAACTTGACCATGTCAAAGTAATGTCATGCCAACAAACGAGGCAGGTATATCGGTCATTTTGAATATGAAAATGTCAAGTTGTCTTCATCATTCACAATTTAGAATTTTTAATAAAAACAAAAATTAAAAATTATAATAAATATTCTTGTAGTTTATTATATTAATCCCACTTGACACCTTTTCTCATTCATCATATATATGATTCACAAATTTCTCAAGAACATGAAAATTGAGTAAGAAACTTTGCACTATACTCAATGGAAATTCAATTTGAGGAACCAAAGAAGAGTTTGAGACCAAAAAGGAGCAACAAATTATTCAAAGGTGGAAGCAAAAAGAGTGAAACAAAAAACAAGTTTGTTGGGGTGAGACAAAGGCCATCGGGTAGATATGTTGCTGAAATTAAGGACACAACACAAAACATAAGAATGTGGCTTGGAACATTCGAGAAAGCCGAGGAAGCCGCGAAAGCTTATGATGAAGCCGCCACACTTCTTCGCGGTTCCAACACTCGCACCAACTTCATCACACATGTTTCCTATGATTCTCCTCTCGCTTTTCGGATTAAAAATCTTCTTAAAAATCGAGAAAAAGGTAATGAAAAACAAGTAGAAGAAGATTTGGATGTTAGAAGCAGCATCACGAGTCGCGTTAGTACGACTAATGATAATACTAATAGTATTAATATTAGTACCACCATCACCCGTGCTGACATGGTTAATAGTATTACTAATAGTACCGGTGCTAGCTGCGTGACTAGTACTAGTACTAACACCACGGATAGTGTCTACATGGTTAGTACTGGTGCTAGCAGCATGACTAACACTAATATTACTATTAGTACTAGTTCGAGCAAAAACAATATTGGTGAAAACTCGATTTCTAGTGTGACGACAATACAAAACACAAGATTATTCGATGATGCATATAGGCCAGATATGAGCAATTTCAATGAGTATGAGTCAAGTTACAATAAGTCAAGTGTCTCATGGGATTTTGGACCTACTTTTGATAACTTTCCATTTGATCAAAGGTTGGATATGAGTGATGAATTAGGGGTTTCAGAATTTGAAAGGATGAAAGTTGAAAGACAAATATCAGCTTCACTTTATGCAATTAATGGTGTGCATGAGTACATGGAAAATTTTCAAGATTGCAATGAACCTCTATGGAATCTTTCACCATTTTGCTCATTTTTAAGTTCAAACAATATGCATGAAGTCTAAATCTCTCTTTTTGTTATAAGTCTAATCTTTCGAGTTTGATAATATCGTAATAATCTTATATCTCTTGTTTCTATACATGAAAGAATTAAACACACTTCATTCTCATTTCAATTTTTTTGTGCTATTAACCTCGCTTCTGAAGTAAGTAAAGTCTGAGAGATGATTGATCAAGATTCATAACGAAACATATCATACAACATAGAAATATAGATACATGCATTACATTAAATTCAATAATCTTCTACTCCATCATCTACACCATCTTCACCAACTTCATCATAATCCTTTTCAAGAGCAGCAAGATCTTCCCTAGCTTCCGAAAATTCACCTTCTTCCATTCCTTCACTAACATACCAATGAACAAATGCTCTTTTAGCATACATGAGATCAAATTTGTGATCAATCCTGTTGAATACCTCGGACACAGCTGTATTGTTGCTTATCATACAAACCGCGCGTCTCACCTCGGCTAGATCGCCTCCCGGGACAACCGTCGGAGGTTGGAAGTTTATGCCACACTTGAATCCAGTTGGACACCTAATTAAAAAAAGTTAATTTCTCATCAATATCATGTTTTGTCGCGATTATAGCATAAGCACTTATCATATAAGTTTACCAATCAACAAATTGAACTGTTCTCTTAGTCTTGATATTTGAAACTGCAACATTAACATCTTTCGGGACAATATCGCCGCGATACATCAAGCAACACGCCATGTATTTTCCATGTCTTGGATCACACTTAACCATCATACTCGATGGCTCGAAAACAGCCCTAGTGATCTCCGGAACCGATAATGCTTCATGATAGGCCTTCGCGGACGATATCACGGGCGCATAAGACGAGAGCATGAAATGGATTCGAGGATAAGGTACAAGGTTAGTTTGGAATTCGGAAATGTCTACGTTGATTGCACCATCGAATCTCAACGAGGTTGTTAAAGACGAGATACTTTGCGATATTAATCGGTTTAAGTTGGTGTATGTTGGTCTTTCTATGTCTAAAGATCTTCTGCAAATGTCGTAGATTGCTTCGTTGTCTAAAAGCACAACTACATCACTATGCTCAATGTGAGAATGGTTGGATAGAACTGTGTTATAGGGTTCCACAACCGCAGTCGATACCTGCATGTTCATAATCACATTATCATTATCATATAAGTTATAAGCTGTTTTTATAAGCTATTTTCGGGAGTTAATGAAAATACGCTGAAAACAACTTATAAACATGTCAAATGGTCTTATAAGTACTTATGTCAGTAGATAAGCTCAGACAGTAGAAGTCAATCTAAATAAGTCCTTGTTCTGATTTTTCTTTAGCCTAACCTGAGGAGAAGGATAAATGATGAAGCCGAGTTTCGACTTTTTTCCATAATCTACCGACAATCTCTCTAGAAGTAATGATCCTAAACCAGAACCGGTTCCACCACCAACAGCATTGAAAACCAAGAATCCTTGCAAGCCAGTGCAATTATCCGCTAATTTTCGGATTCGATCTAGACATAGTTCTTCAACTTGTTTTCCAACTGCATCATGTGTATTATAGACAATCAAATCACAATTTAAATAAATAACTTCAAATATAGCCAATACAGAAGCCAGACACGATACTGATCCATTAACTTACATCAGTAATAATTAAAGAAAATAAATTATTTAAATGTATTATAAGTGTCAGGATCAGACATTAAAATGTGTCATACATACACCAGACACACCTTTGACTAAAAGTGTTCGTTAGTAAAATAATATATAATGAAATTTCGGATATTATAAAAGTTGTGACTAACTTGTATAATGTCCCCTTGCGAAATTATTAGCAGCATCTTCTTTACCAGAAATTAACTGTTCTGGATGAAAGAGTTGTCTGTAAGAACCAGTTCTAATTTCATCAATTACAGTTGGCTCTAGATCAACAAATAGAGCCCTTGGAACATATTGCCCAGTTCCAATTTCACTAAAGAATGTGTTGAATGCATCATCATGTTTTGGGTCATTTGATACATCACTGCAAAAATATATGAATTATTGACCCACATATCAGACACGAAAGTGATGATTACACATTGATACCAATAATACTATAAAAGTGAAATTTTTGGATGTAATTTTATATGACGATATTGCGCCAATATCAAACAAGGATATATCTTCTATATGATTTATCTCATGATTTAAGATCAATTTTTCGAACAAGATTTCGATCACTTTTCTTCTACGAATCATTCAACGATCTCTGAGACAAAATTCATGATACGTCCACAAAGTAAGATCTCTAAAAGACATTTCATGATTTGTCTATATATAATATGTATCTATATTTGTAAATTTTTATTATATCTATGAAAAATTCATAGCTACATAATAAAAAATAATAATATATAGAAATAGAATTAAAAAAATAAAATTATAATATAAACCTGGGCATTGTTCCATCTGGTTGAATGCCATGTTCAAGACAATATAACTCCCAACATGAATTACCAACCTGAATTCCAGCTTGTCCAATATGAATGCTAATTATCTCTCTCATTTTTCTTAATTTTTATTTCTAATTTTTATTATTTTGCATAACAATGGAAAACAATGATCATAAAAGTTAGTCACAAGGATGAGAGAATTATGCAAAATAGAGAAAACCAAGACGAAACAAGAATTTTTTATTCTCTCCTTTCTTCTCTTAATTGGTTATAATTAACAGAAAACTTGAAAATGAGAGTGCATGCATGATGTTCAAACGTCAAAAATATTATTGAGTTTTAATCCATTGATTAAATACTTAAATTAAAGAGTGGTTTTGGATTAGTATTAATCTAATACCTGTCATTTGGAAACAACTGTTTGGTGGATTTGTAAAGAATTGAAGACAAAAATATTAATGCATATTACTTATTTTATTTTATGTAGGGTTAAATATGTCCGAGATTCTTATAAATACGTGATCTTACAATTTTAGTTTTAATAAAGTTTTTTTTTAATTATGATCCTTGTAAAATTTATCGTTCCCATAAATGGTCTCTCCTGTTAGTTTCCACTAACAAAGGATGACGTGGCATGTCAATTGTGCTTTATTTCTATGACTCGTAGGATAACATTTATCATAATGTTATTTGTTTTATATTTAAGTGAAAATCCTTGAACCCAAAATTGTTTTTCATAAAATTCTTCTTCATCGTTGTTTTTCTTCATTATTCTTCACTGTGCTCAGCATTAACACAAGGTATGTCATCTTCTTCAATTAGAAGCAAATCAGTATCATTTCAGTCTACAAGTGTAAGCAATCGTCAGTGGAGAATGTGTGGCTACAATGTTCGTATGATTTTGTATCGCTGTAAGAACGGACGTAATCGATGGAGACTCTCCTGGAGTTGTCCCTTTTGGAAAAATAAAAATAAAGTGCAATCTTTTTGAATGAGATGATGATATGGGACCAGGATACGATGTAATCGAGGCTTCAGATGAAGAATGGAGAAATGATTCGACCAAGATGAGGGAGATGCAATCTGTTGAAACATTGAAGGAGTTGTATGAGTTTGCAATGAAGAAGAATGTGAAATTACAGATCCAGTTGAAGTCAGATGGCTTTTGTGGAAAGATGAAGACAATTTTCCTTACTTTTTTGTTTATGGTCAATTTGTACTTGTTAGTGAAATGTAAAAGTTGAAGGGTTATGATATAACTGTTGTGTTTTGTTAGTGTTTACCATAACCTGTAATTTGTACTTGTTAGTGAAATGTAAAAGTTGAAAGGTTATGGTATAATTGTTGTGTTTTGTTAATGTGGAATCTTTTAAAATGTGAATTGTAGTTTAATTTTGCAAATGACATATGATGTTGTTGTTTAATAAGTGACCTATAATTTGGACAGACCTATAATTTGGTCACTATAATAATGTGCATAATTTTGACATAATTTAACAGAACTTTAATTTGATATAAATTTGACCTTAAATAAGGTTCATAATCAGTACATTACAAAAAGTTTGACCTTACATCATGTTCACCATGCAACACATCAACTAAGTTCCAAAAGGTTACAACAAAACAAAACACCATCTAAGTTTCAAAAGATTATAACAAAACAAAACATCATCTAAGTTCCAAAAAGTACAACAAATTATGGTATATTGTGTTCACTGAGTTAAGCCCTTGTATATACCAGCCCATTTCTTTGTCTTGACAACACCACCAGTCAATTCTTCTGTGGTTTCATCCTCCTCAGTGATCACCAAATGGTCTTCTGGTTTTTCACCTGAACCAGAAATAACCTTTGTCTTGAGGGTCCTGAGTCCGTCACTTTGCCTTTTTACATCTTGCACATTAGTCTTTGTATTTTCGGCCTTGTTCTGCAATTATGGTGATGATGATGCTGGTGGTTTGAATGGTTGGTTGTTACACTTTTTTGGAGATACACCATAGAAAATCCTGGATCCTTTTGGCTTTTCAGCATGCTTTGGTGCAACCTTGGCCTTGGCCTTTTTTGTTACACCATCAGTTGTGTCAAGCTCCTTTGTTACACCATTAATTATGATAGGCTCCTTTGTTACACCATCCGTTTGTTCAGGCTCATTTGTTACACCAGCAATTTGTTCAACATCCTTTGGCTTCATGGGTGAGGTGTCTACACACAAAGGCTGAATGTCTAAGACATCATCAAAGTCCAGCAAGGTAGCCAAAGTTTCAGCATCCCAGTCATAGAACTTATCCAAAGGTGAAAACTATGTTATTGGTACAGTTCCACTTGTTCTAGTTCCACCGTTGACTTTGACAACTTCATTCACAATTTGGTCACTTGGCTGCACTTTTGGTTTCTTTGTTTTAATCTATTTTGAAGTTGTTCCATGCTTTGATGTGCCTTTACTGACTGAAATTTTAGGCCTTCTCTGGTAACAAAATCAATTTGAATGCAATTTAAATAGAAAAACAGTTGATTACAAAATAGTAAAAAAGTAGTTCAAGTTAAACAATTACCCTATTTTTGTTGCCATGTTGACCTGGGCT